TTGGCCCAGAGACTTCTTGAGTCAGGCAGAGGTCATCCACGCATGATAGGAAGCTTTGCAACCGCTCAGATTTTCCTGAGTGATCCTCCCATGAGATGTCCGGGTAGTTGAAGTCACCCATGACAACCACGGTCCTGAAGCATGCGGCCTCAGCCAGTTCCTGTGTGAACTCGTGGTCAAGCTCTTGACTTTGGATGGGAGGTCTGTAGTAGACTCCCACTGTTGTGTCCTCTGTGCCATGTTCCCCACGGATTTTAACCCAGAGAGTCTTCAGTTGTCCACCCTGGTCGCCAACATCAGCTTGCAGGGACGCGTAGCTTTCCTTAACATAGAGAGCTACACCCCCGCCCCTTTTATCTACTTGATCTGTCCTGTACAAGGTATAGCCATCTATACCCGTGGTCCAGTCATGGGTGTAGTCCCACCAGATCTCTGTTATCCCTATGACGGCGTAATTATTTGTGATAAACAGGAGGATGATTTCCTCTTGCTTATTCCCCAAGCTCCTGGCATTTGTGTACAGGCAGGCAAGTGTCCCCTTGGGGGCTCTTGCCTTGCCCACAGGTTGTACCAGGCTGGGGCAAGGGTGGGCTCCTTTAAGTGCCTTGGCCTGCTGGCTTTGCAAGGGTTGCTCAGTGGGCCAGCAGTGGCGGTAGTCCCCCCATCCTCCGGTGGGCTTAGTTTAAAGCCCAGTGGAGCAGGTCAGCCAGTCTAGCTGAGGAAAGCCTCCTCCTCAGCAGAGAGAGGTGAAGGCCATCTCTTCCCAGCAGTTCGCTGCCTCTCTCGCCAAAGAGCGGGCTGTGGTCATGGAAGCCAAAGCCTTCCCGATGACACCAGTGCCGCAGTCTTTGGTTAACTACATGGATCCTCCTCTCCCTCAGCCCATACCCTGAGACTGGGAGGATCAAAGAGAACACCACCTGTGCCCTTTTATCACCGCTCCCAAATCCCTGTAGTGCCTCATGACCCAGCTGGGAGCACTCCGAGCTGTGTCATTGGTGCCCACGTGAATAAGGAGCATGGGATAGTGGTCTGTGAGCTGGAGGAGCTTAGGGATCTTCTCCGCAATGTCTCGGATGCGGGCCCCTGGGAAGCAGCAGACTTCCTGGGCTAAGGGGTCGGGGCGGCAGATTACCCCCTTAGTCCCCCTAGGATGGAGTCTCCCACAACAAACACATTATGTTTTGTCTTGGGGAGAGCGGGGGTGGTAGCTGCAGGTGAGCCTGTGTCGCCTGCA